AATGCATTATAATCAACTATTCGATGAAATGTTCTGTTGCAGCTCATTGTTGTTCATGATTCAATTGCATCTGGCTAGGTATTGAAACATGCTGTTATAATTGTGCCATTGTGTTGCATCATTTGGAATTACATTTATCATTTCACTTTAGCTGGTAACCATTTTAAGGAATCAATGCTTCACGCAATGTTCGTCCTTAACATGTGTTCGAGAAATGGAACTTATACTGATGTGCAGAGCCATGTTTTTTTTTTCTCTGGCTGACGCATTGCGTATGAATTGAGTCCACTATGAGATGAATGGTTTCTTTTTGATGTATACAAGTTATGGTCAAGAAGCTCTGACTAGTTCATGATTTGCATGGATACTTGTGTGAGTATCCTTTTGGGTTGAAGTGGGTAGGGTGTTGATGCTAAAATTGTCCAGTCTCTTTGTTCAGCGTTCGAAATAGCTGCTAATTTGACCTGCCTCATGTCTCTGCTTTTCTCTGAACTGAATAATTGCCTTGTTTTTTTTATCATGGCCTTCTTCTTTCTTAATGATCATCCAGTTGTTTTCTTAATAAGTAAATATTGAGCCAATATACATCAGTTTCCTGTTTCTAAATATTTTTTTAGCCGACAATTAATGTGGCACCTGATTGTTAAGAGGAGCTTGGAGCACTGCTTGTTATATTAAATGGAATGATTATAGTCCACTTGTCAATGAAATATTCTGTTGTGATTCATTTCATGAGTCTGCTGCAACATAATCCGATCTTTCAGTTGCACATTTCTTGCAGTTATTTCTATCATTCCACATTAGTTGCTAAACATTTATGCAGGACCTCGCTGCCTTTAGTACCCTTGGCTTAGGAATTCGAAAGGAAGTTGTAAATAAGGCCATTGGATTTATCAGCTGGAGCTGGAGTGTGGTTGAAGCTGAAAGTAAGTAAAGAAAAACATATGAACAGTATGGAGAATACATTTTGGATAAACATAGAAAATAATGGTGTGAAATTTATAGATTGAAAAGAACGGGTTTTTAATGCAAATGATGAGGGATGATGCTGCCACCAACACTTGTGTTCATACTAGTACACTGAACTCAAAGCTATTGTTTCCTGAGTTCGAGAATGCAAAGGCTTGCTGGTACTGTTGAATCAGACTGGACAGATCAAATGTGCTCTTGAGATTGAACGAGATCGATGGACAGCAAGTGCATTTTCAGCAGGCACATGCAGTGCCATCGCCACGTGAATGTGCAGTCTTTAATGACGGTATTACTTGCCCAACACTACTAATGCAGAAAGCGGTAGCATCGATCACATGGACTCCTCTTCCGGTTCTTGAGGCCTCGTCTTGAGGTTCTCGCTACTCCCATCCGCACGAGGACAGAACAGATAATTCAATTGTTTTTTAGTGGTGGCTGGTACTAGGTAGGGAGAGAGGGTTGTTCTTCTTCTGCTTATCGGATACTAAATTCTTCAAGAAACATGGCAAGCATCGATGGACACTCGTGCTAGTCTACACTCATTCCCAGTTCCTCACAATCCTAAGTATGCATACATACACTCTTTTTTTACGTAAGTAGCTACCCATTGAAGTGAGACTAGTGGTGAAAGTGAAACCATGGAGAAACGTGTCTCGGTCTGCTCTGAGCATACATATAGTCCGTGATTTTCTGCTGGCCATAAAGTCAGTACAAGTAAAGTAGGCTGGCATGGTGCATCGTGCTTGCTTGGTTGGTCGTTATAAATGGATCGTGCAACTCTGTGCAATTATTTATTTGAAGCAAGAATCAAGAGGCGCAGAATCTGGGTGACTTTCAAGCATTTGAAATCTCGTCGTCCTCGAGGCATATACCTTTCGTATATTTTGAAAGAAGATAACAACATCAATAGTAACAATCGGCAGGGCCAGCGTGGTACCTACATATCTTCACGTTAATTAAGAGGCATCTTTGATTTGAAGGATTTTGATAGATGACTTGGAGGATATAATCGGGATGTATTTTTCAGTTGATTTGGTTTATAATATGTTGGGCGACACTAGTTGTCTTATAGTACTTTGATTTTCAGTTGATTTGGTTTCATTGCAGATGTTACCAAAACAGATACATAACATACATCACAAATAATGTTACATAGGCTTAGCTAGCTGAGTGACTTCATGGACAAAAACAGTAGGCTAATCAGTATAATGGTAGTTCGTTTTGTGCATCCATGAATACTTTCACAACACACACATGATGTAGTTGACGTAATGAAGTAGACATGCATTGTGGGCTCAAAGAAAGCCATAGCTCAATCTCATCAATTGTGATGTAACTTAATGTGGATGTCTCATTAACGTACCTGCCCATCATGCATTTGCGAGGGATATGGCCAACATAGCATAAGGTCCTAGCAAGTTTCCCTCCAGGCTCCAGTGCCGCTCTGCGGCACTGACAAATTCATCCATGACATCTCCAAAATGTTGGACTAATATCGGCTCACATAAAGCTCTCAAAAGATTGACAAACCTGCTTGGGGCACTGAGAACATTATTCATATCGATTGTAGGGTCATATGCACCTGCATCTGCCTGGTAAAAAATGAGCTCTCTTCTTGGATGGCCTCTCTCACTTCTTCGATGAAAGGTTTCATACACCGGCACATAAAAAGAATCAAACTTTTTATTTCATTTTCTCTCCATTCCCCATTTTCTTCCAGTTCATTGTAGAAAATGTTGATCATGCATTTAAAAAGTGTTTGTCGGGTACATTTAAAAATGTTCATTGTGTTTTCAACAAATATTTGTCATGATTTCCAAATAATTCATCAGTTTTAAAAATCCTAACAACCTTTATTCACATGGACATTTAAAAAATACACATCACTTTTTCAATACATGAACATTTTTAAAATATATGAACATTTATTAAAAAATATATACAATAGAAATATGTGAGCACTTAGTGAAAATATTTATCCAAGTATATTTTCTATGACATTTCTGAAAATAGAGAAGAAAAATGTATCAAAATCCTAAAGAGAAAAAAAGTGAAAACTATGTGTTAGCTTGTGCGCTGGAACGACGATCAGTCTTTATTTTTAACACAAAAAAGTACAACCAAAGTCGGACTGTGGTATACCCAGCTCACCAGGGTTCAAATTCTGGTGCTCGCATTTATTCCTTGATTTATTTCAGGATTTCCGGCGATGCGCATTCAGTGGGAGTTACGTTCCCGTCGACGACGAGGTGCCTACGATGGCTTCGTAAATTTCAGGATGATATGCCGGCTCAGTCTTTTGAAGGTGCTCATAGTGGTAGGATGTGCGTGTGTGTTTATAGGGGTGAGTGTATGCGCGTGTATATGAGGTGCCTACGGTGGCTTCGTGAATTTCAAGATGAACGCCGGCGGGCGACTGACGATGGGGACTCCGTCGCTAGCCTGCTCATCGGTGGTCGTGGTCGCCTCCCTCCTCGCAGGGGCCTCCGTCGTCCACAACGTCTACAAGCCCGACATGGTACATTAGTCTCTGCCATCCACCCTTACCTTTCCCCATGCCCGCAACCTGTTCGACGCAATGCATACTCACCACAATTATTTTCTTCTGATTCCCCCTAGACTATTCCGCCGGTGGAGAGCTCCGACGGAGGAGACGGCGGCGATGACAGCAAGCAGAGTTGAGCTGGTTTCGTGGAGAGGGCTCGCGGAGACAACCTGTCACTTCTAGAGTTTAACAACCTGAATAAAAGATTAGGTCAAATTCAGATCAGTACGTATTATATAATACGTACATTAACAACCTGTCACTTCTAGAGTTTGTTTTACATCAGCAGACTTGTCATTTTGAGGTCATGCCTTTGCTTGCAAACTGGAAGTCCAGTTCTTCTTTTCTATGCTCAACTAGGGATGGATTTTCTGGCTGCTTACTGGGTGCAATAAGAAGGTCAACGACCAGTAATAAAGTCATATTCGGATAAGAATAACAGCCTGTCACCGCTAGAGATTGTATTTTTATAGACCAGCAGAATTATTATTTGGCATGTTTGTTTTTATTTTTTTGAATAAATGGTTGAGTTTTGTTGGCTCTTCCGACCGAGCATATATAGAAACCGAATGATAACTGAACTTCCAGTACGTGCTCTATTTTACTGGAATTTCCAATACATTGTGAGCATTAACATGAACACCAGGACTATTGTTATGGATCAGACAATGAGTATTACAATAGTCTCAACTGTCACCACAACTATTAATGTAATAAAACTGAGTTTACACGCACACAAAAATCCGTCAGCTTTCTGCAAGAGAAGAGAGTTATAAAGAATATTCAGAATAAGTGTTACACTCTCTGGCAGTCTAGGCACTTAGTTTTAGTCTTCCAGAATTAGCATATGAAAAGAAGGGTTGTGTAATAATCAGAAAAACTTCAGTATCAAACTAAATCTAGGCACTTCAGATGCTGTTCATTTAAGGAATAAATACTCCATGTAATGTTCGATCTTAACATAAGCTAGGAAATAGGGCTTATATTTATATCATAGATTGTGCTCCCCATCAGACACAGTATGAAAATTTCATCACAAGGACTAGAAATCTAGGAAACTGAAACTGAACCATAATAGTTCATTCCTGTTGAGCATGGACAAAACTTATGTATCAATGTGGACTGGTGGTATTATGAACAGCACTAGCCGCTGTGCATTGAAGCAGAAACTTGGAGATTTCTTGATAATCTCCAAATTAGCTGAATACCCTCACATTGCTACAGATAAACCAAGTTAGAACACCATGCACAAAGTTAAGGCCCGGTATCAAACCTACACCAAATATATTCAATATAGCAAAAATTGATTAAAAAATACATATGTTTACATCATCAAACTCATTACAAAACAAAGATATGAAAACAAGCTTGCAGTAGAATATCCATTGATGTGCCTAGACTTGAAGAATTCAGGGAGTTGGCTAACACATCAAAGACTAAACATGGTATCCCGTGGCGAATGATACTGCCAGTTACTTGACCCTCATGCCTTGGTGAGCGATACAGCCACCATCGTGTCCTTGGCAAGCATGTTCTCCAAGTTTCCCTCCAGGCTCCAGTACTGCTTCCCAATCCTCGCGAACTCATCCATCACGTCTCCAAAATGCTGCACAATTATCGGCTCAAACACGGCTCTCATCCCATTCACGAACATGGTTGGGGTGAGGAGAGCATCGTCCGTAACAGTTGTAGGGCCCCGTACCTGCATCTCCCTGATCGAAAACGAGCCCTCTTCTTGGATGATCGCCCTCATCTCCTCACTAGAAGGTCCGTACATTGGCACGTAGAAAGAATCAAACTTCTCTTTATCAATCACACCCTATCACCCATATCAAAAGATTTAATACTCGCATGTTCACTGGCAAATGGTAAAATTCTATATTCGGAAAATTGTGGAAATGTACCTCTGAGACCATGATACTTAGAGTTTGAGCTATGACTTCCCATATGTGAAAGAATTCGAAGGTGCTTCCATCAGAAGGCCTCCCAATAACAGACACAATCATTCGGCCACTTGGAGCCAATTCTTTAGCTCTCAGCTTAAGGAAATGTGTGAAGTCAGTCTTGAACTGGTGTGCATAAGCCTCATGGACCATGGGGAGCCTTTCACGCCTAGCTTGCTCATCGATGTCGTATGCCGGGATGTGATCCCTTATTAGAACTTCAGGAACCTGCAGTGGTAAAGATTTTTCTTATGTAATCGACGATTGTGTTGTGTCTATATAATAGACAAGTGATACAACGGGTCAAGCATTCGAGCAGTATCAAAGTCACACCTTTGAGAGCCAATGCAGGCTACAGGATGAGCACACGAGATTCAAGGAGCCACTAGTGAACAACCTTTCGTAAAACGACCCCGGTATGATACCGGTCATGACGACAGGCTCGTTACTTTGACGGAGTGTGACCAGGCTCTTCACCACTGTGCTGAAGTCATTATCAGGCAGGTCGTTGAGGAGCACACACACTTCCAGTGGTGGCTGTTGTAAATGAAGGCAGCGGCAATGGATGGCCATGACGGCAGTAGATACCAGTGCTAGCGCATTCGGACCAGAGGAGCAGCCCAAGTCCGCGATCACCATCTTCCCGTGCAACAAGGTGTTGGTGTTGCTGCATAAGTCAATGATTGCCTCTTCTATCAGAGGCTTCATCCTGTTCTGCTCAGCGTTCTGCAGTCGAGGTATAGTCATTCAGAAACTGTAATATTTTTGTTCAACGGTGTGCTAATTAATTCCTCGCATATTTATATTTATCAGGATGCAGGCCATTTTGCAGAGGGCCCGTCGGCGTGGGCGTATAAACAAGCAACAACATATACTTCTGCATTCTTAAAATTTGGCATGGTATATACTGCACTTATCAAGCAATGAAACGTGTCATCTAGCTATTGATACAATAGGTAAAATTCAGTTTAGTTTTTCACTTCAATTTTCGGTTGTCCTCAACTTTCTACTTGTTACAAATAATTTGATTGTCATCCAGGTTCATTGGCGAAAGCCTTGATTTGCCAGCACTTGATTATTAGGTTGCATATTGTTTTTATCTGCAATGTCCTAATTATCCAACGTTGTTTCAAATTGCTATTCATCAGCACACGAATACTGTCAAGATAGGGATTCGTTGCCTTGAATGTTTTTCTTTTTCTCCTTTGATGTTGCTTTATTCGCTCCTGATGCTCACCCCAAAAAAGGAAAAGAAAAAAACAACTCGTGATGCAGAGAGGAAGAGAACTCTCTATGCAGTAAGACAGCTCGTATGGTACGGAGATATGCAAAAGGACATATACAGAAAATCGATTCAGCAAATTTTAGCCATTACGATTTCTTATCTACATATGCAAAAGGACATGTAGGGAGATATGCAGTAAGCCTGATTTATGCAGAGCTTAGCTGGTTCTTTTAAGTCTCAGCAGTATAAGCAGTATAGCTGGAGAAATCTTGATAATTTCTCATCATGAACAAGTTCAGTTTTGGAAGTCAAACTGTTTAAGAAAAAGGTAACAGCAAACAGCATCAGCGGATGAATGGAGAGTGAAGAAGATACCTGATAGCTTGAGTTACGAGCATAGCTTATTTCTCCTTGTCCTTGATTCATATGCACAGTCTGTTTGGAGGCCATGATTTTGCTCGGAGCAAGCTTGGCTGAACTTCAGTTAGATCTTGATTGAATCTGCAGGAACCAGATAAATGGGGAAAGTGCTGGTACCCAAGTGGCACACCAGATAATGACCTACCCCCTCTCAACGCCGCCGTCACTGCCACTCACTCCTCTTGCTTTGCTCTGCTTCCAACGGCGTTGAGAGCAGATATTTCGGTTTACCAGGGACCATTAGGCATTAGCAGTGGCAGCTGGGGCCAATTCAGTGGTGGTATAGATTTTTCATTTTATTTACAGAGACAGCAGGTATGCAGAGTAACCTTTAAGAATCGTTGTTGGACAATGATGCACAGCAGAGTACAAGTGACAGCACACAGCAGAGTACAATGATGCATATGTTTCACTAACCTGTAGGTACCACTGTTGAATGATGAGCCGGAAAGAAAGATGCAACAAGCACCTGAAACCTGCTGATAAGAGTTTTGGACATGGCAGACAATTGTTTGGATAAGTCATCTACTGACGATGATCCTCATCCATTCATTCTGTAAGCAGCCGTACAAATTATTTTACCAAATTTCTGTCTCTACAGATTACAGTCTACACGAGAAATTCTTACCAGAGGTTTTATATTAAGCACGGAAAATAAAACCGATCCCCGGCGCTTAATGTGGCCTTTTGTTTCATCATAGTGGTATATATTTTTCGTGACAACGGGTGAGTTTTTTTGGTGATTTATATGCAGAATATATAATCTTTAAGAATTGCTATTGGATAATGATGCATCTTCAAGGGGAAGATAATAATCCATGCTCGTTGGACTTTCTGAAAACATTGAATTTGTTGAAGTGTATATGAGGACAACTGTTCTATATCAACTCTCTTCCCCCCTCTCGTGTCGCTCCCGCGAGCGACCCGGGAGGGAAACCCTAGCCGCCGTCTCAGTCCTCCCTCCTCCTCTCCTCTTCTCCTCGCCGCCGCCGGAGCGCGCTGATGGGCGAAGCCCGCCGGCATCGGCGGCGGCGGGGCCCTTCCTCCCTTCGCTCGGTGGCGGCTGGCGCGGGCCGGTAACGGCGGGCGTGGTGTCGCGCTGACGAGGGGCGCTGGCGGCAGGGTCACGGGTGCGTGGCGGTGGCGTGGTGGGCTTCGTGGGCGCGGGCGCGTCCTTGGCAGGAGCGGCAGTGGCCTAGTCTGGCCCGACCAGATCTGCTGCCTGGTGGCCACGGACGACGCGGGGCGCCTGCCGGCGGGGCGTGGGCGCGTCTGCTGCTGCTCGCGCGGCTGCCGGTGGCCGGTGTGTGAGGCCCGGCGGGGCACCTCCTGTCGCCGTCTACGGGGCCGATCTTGACCATCCGGGCGTCCTCGTCATCGGGCGGGTGTCCGCTTGCTCTTCGTGATCTGTCTGGAGGCCGTGGTGGGGCATTGCAGGGGGCAATCGTGAGGAAGCTAGCTAGAGGGATGGGTGGTTTGCCCACCCATCACCAGCACGGGGGTGTTCCGGTCGAGGTCTCGCACCGCTCCGCCCCTTCCTCTTTCCCCTGGCCTGGTTGCCTCCGACCCCATCTGTCGAGGCTTGTCGTCGCTGGCGGCTCTGCCACTATTAGGGGTCTGCTGGTGGTGGAGATTTGCTCCTCTGGGCGTCCATTGGGGGTGTCGGGTGGCAGGGCGGCGGCTCTGTGGTGGGAGCTGCGATGTTCATAGGCGGAGCTCGCAGCTCGGGTGCCGACTGGCGGCCCTAGTCGCGTGGGCGGCAGGGTGGCTCTGGCATGACGATCCGTGGCAGTGGTCCGGCATGCCTCTTGGCCGGGCGCACCCTGATCGGAGGTGGAGTGGTATGCCGGGGTGAAATGCATGTCTGACCGTGGTCAGACCGACGGTGGTGGCGTCCGCGGGCGTCATCCCCTTCTTGTAGGCTCCGTCGCGGTCTCTCCTGATCCTCCGTGTTGCCCCCGGTGAAAATCTTGATCCTTTGGATCGGGTGGTGGCGGCGCAATGGTGTCGTGTCCTTCCTGGCACTACCTTGGGGCGCACGGTTCGTTGACGGTCAGCTACGTTCTTCACGGTGGCTTGTTCTCTTTGGAGGGCTCCGCCATCTTCGTAGTGATCCTTGTTGTACATTTGTTGTTTGCTTCGAGTTGGCTTAACTGATCTTCGACACCTCTGTATCTTGCTTTGGGTGCGTGCGTTTGGGGTGTCGTGTTGTATGGTTCGGATGTATGAGGTTCGGTGCTTTATATATAAAGCGGGGCGAAAGCCTTTGTACATAGTTCGGACTTTTGGTTGCGTTGACTAGTGCATAAAGCTTAACATGGTAACACCACCTCTCACGTGTGACGCGGGAAGTCAACACATGAATAAACTTAGAGGTATGGTTCAAGAGGCCTATGTGTGGACATAAGAAGGGGGCAACAAAATTTTTGAATAAACTGTGAAAGCCAGGACTTGAACGCAAGACTTTAGGCTCTGATACCATGCTAAGCTTCATGCACTTGCCAACGCAACCAAAGGTTTGGACATTTGATTGTGTTGGCTAGTGCATGAAGTTTAACATGGTATCAGAGCTAAGGTCTTGAGTTCAAGTCCTTACTTTTGCAATTTATTAAAAATTACTGGTAGCCCCCCTTTGTGTCCACGTAGAGGCCTCTTGAGTCATACGTGAGTTTCCTGTGCCGCTGCTCTCTTCCGGTTGCACGTGTTAACTTATCTTCCCCGTCACACGAGAGAGGGGGTGTTACGGTATCAGAGCTAAGGTCTTGAGTTCAAGTCCTGGCTTTCGCAATTCATTAAAAATTGCTGGTAGCCCCCCTTTGTGCCCATGTAGAGGCCTCTTGAGTCATATATGAGTTTCGCACAACGTCGCTCTCTTCCGGTTGCACGTGTTGACTTGTCTTCCCGTCACACGTAAGAGGGGGTATTATAGTATATGTGGACTGCACTAGCCCTTTCCATCAGTCCAGACTTTTGGTTGCATTGGCTAGTGCATGAAGCTTAACAGAATTGGCTGATCCTCGTGGAAACGAGGACAAACCACTAGTAGATAAAGGACCTTATGTTCACCTAATTAGTCCCGGTTTGTTTACGGCCCGGGACTAATGTAACCATTAGTCCCGGTTCCAACGGCTAGGGGCACGGGGGGCACGGGCATCATTAGTCCTAGTTCGTTTTGTACCTATAGTCCCGCTTTGTGTCACATACCGGGACTAAAGGGATGGTGGCAGGCTGGGGCCCCACGAACCCCTCTAGTCCCGGTTCGTGACACAAATCGAGACTAGAGGCACACTTTTAGTCCCAGTTTGTGTCACGAACCGGGACTAAAGAGCTCCTATATAAACCATTCGTCCAGCCCGAGCTCTATGTTCTTCCCCTTTCCTCTCTGTTCTCTGTTGGATTTCTGGCATGATTTGTAGCGCAAATGCTATTGATACGAACTTAAGTTGTGCTTTGCATATAAAAATCTGGGGCACAATTTGTAGTTTCTGTTGCTAGATGGGTTTAGTAGATTAATTCAGATGTCCACCTGTTTCAGCCGGGTAGGTGTTGTACTTCTACAGTTATATTACTGTATTCTGTTGAGAGTGTGTTCATTGGATCGTACTATGAAATGGAACGAATAAATTTTTAGACATGGACTCAATCTCGAGAGCCCAGAATGTCCTTGTAATGCTACAACAGCAAGCAGAGGACAGTGGTATTTCGAACCACCTAACATTCAGTGTTGGTCTCTGTCAAGAATAAAAGATCTCCAGTGTGCATGGTTGTGATGAGAATAAAACACTCACAAACACGGTCCAGAACCAGCCATGAGCGTAGTATTTTGTGGCCCTCACCAGAACGGAGATTTGGGGGAGCTGCACATCACCAGGAATTACGCCTCAAGGCTCACGCCTGTCATCTCTAGTTCATCCTGATCATTTTCCCTTTTCAGGGAAAGTTCAATCTGATCATTTGTTACTGGTTGTATTGTGTGCCACTGCCCACTGTATGTAATATGCTCAGGTGCTCACATATCGCTTAAGTATCGCACAGTTATGGCATGATGAGTGGGACATTCGAAATTTCGAATTAAATGTATTCATATTTTGAATGAAGTGAAATAGTTGTGCAACCCCCTCTTGAGTTTTAGGCTTATTTCGATTCACTGCGAAGCAAATTGGGCTGCGCATCCGCGTGCAAAAGAAGCTCTTAGTTCTGATCTGAGCGTGTGCTTTGATGTAATACCTGGATTCCTAATTAGCACTCCCTCTTTATCAAAATATAAGACTTCTTTAGTCTCAATCTAGGCCAAAAAACGCCCTACATGATATAGAGGGAGTACTAAACAATTAGACTGTAATCCATTAGGAAGTTAAACAAAGCAATGGTTTGTTTAAAAAAAACTTCTTACATCACTTGGAGGCCACCCACGTTCACTATTCTGTAGCGTGCATTCCCCTTGGCATCTATCTGCCGATCTGCGTGTGTGAGATTTCTTTTCCGTGCAGATAAATGTACATAGTGGCGACAATTTTGTGTGTTGATGAAATTCTGCTAAACTGGGTAATTAGTGTCGAAACTATCAAATTAGAGGGAAAAACTTGGAATCCACTCAAAGGTTTATCATTGTCGATCAGGTGCAGGTCCCAGGTCATGTAACTGCCAGCCATTTTCCTTCTTTTTTGTGACCGGCACAAGACCAACTGAGTACCATTGGTCGAGAGTGGATTGCCTGGAGCAGGACATCACCAGGAATAGCGTCTTGAGCAGATTGTCTAAGTTCATTATGATCATTTGTGACTAGATGTATCATGTGCTATTGCAGGGTAATTGCTCAGTTGTTCACATGCATGGAGTCAAAATCCGAGAAGAGTAGGAACAAGCATCCATGAATACCCAGTGACAATTAGAGCTTGGACTGCAAGTTCCCTTTGCCATTCAATTTTTTTTTTCACCATACATCAGACCAACACATGTGCAAGAACTGAAGAACGGGTTTTTAATGCAAATGATGAGGGATGATGCTGCCACCAACACTTGTGTTCATA